CACCGCTTGAATCTATCGTTGAAACTTGGTTCCGACCATCGCCTCCAACATTAACAGAAACTGGTGATGAAACTCAACTACCTATACCACCACCACAAGAAGCCAAAACTCCACCGTCTTCGCCGTCAATGATGTTAAACGCTACTGAAGAATTCGAGTCCCAACCGAAACCACCGCTTTTGCCGTCTAAATCCATAGACGAAACTCGGCTCCGATCACCGCTTATGTCGCAAGCATCGTCTCCACCTCCTTTGCCGTCTAAATCCATTGATGAAAATGAAACAAGGTCCCAATCACCGCCGATTTCGCCACCAAAATCTGATAAACAAGCAAGATCTCAGACACACTCATCACCATCACCACCGCCACTGTTGTCGCCGAAAGCTAGTGAAAACCACCAATCTAAATCACCTATGCCACCACCATCTCCGACGGCACAGATATCACTATCGTCTCTGAAATCACCAATTCCTTCTCCAGCTACGATCACCGCACCAGCGCCGCCGTTTTCTTCACCACTCTCCCAAACTACACCGTCACCTAAACCATCGTTACCCCAAATTGAACCAAACCAAATCAAATCTCCTTCTCCAAAACTCACAAACACCGAATCTCACGCTTCACCAGAGCAGAATCTAGTGAAACCTGACGCCAACCTCATGAACAAGATTCCGGCTAAAAACGAAGTTCCGAAAAACAGGGGAACATTAGAGAAAAAAACAGAGCCAATGATTATGATGTTCATAAACAGTAACGTCCAAGGATTCAACACTTCTCTTTCGCTTGATTCATCTTCCATCGATCATAAACCAGGCGTCCACTTGACGATCGATTATGATCAAAGTTGTGATTTTTCTTAACCACTGTTTTAAATAATTGCACATATTGTAATACAATCGTCTCTTCGTATCACTATTATATATGATCAACGTTGTGATTTTTCTTCAATTCTGTTCCCGGATTTAAACTACTTAAGTTGGCGCTGGAAAATAAAGCACAAAATGGGCCTTAAATTTCAATTTAGATATAAAGATTACAAGCTTTGGGCCGGCCCATTAAACCATGATTTTGGGATGTGTTTTTTCATGGTAAGAAGCAATTTAAAACTAAACAAGTGAAAAGTGAGAGAAGAGCTAACTCACTGTAGACTACTAATTGATCTGGCCACGACATCTTCGACCACGGTTTCCTTGTCCCCTAACTATATAGACTAGAGTCCTTTGCATATTTTAACGCAACATGCATAACTAGAACTTAATTACCGTAATGTATTTTGAGTTTACTTTTAAGTTATAATGTTATGTTGTTTTTGTCAAAGGACCATTCGTGTAAATATAATCGTTCCTGTTCGCGATTCGCGGGGATTAGAAAAGGAGCTATTGCCTTGTCCTTATTGACCCACGAGACTTAAAGAGCGCATTTATAACTCATACCTGGCCAGCTCAACATGTCATACTCCAAAACATTATACACTATGAATTTTATTTGCATGTAGATGTTTTTGACAAAAAAAAATTACTAACCAAGCAAACACAATTATACTTCTGTTAATGCACTGCTGGTATATGTATTATTTTTTTTAACTTTCTTTTTGCTAACAAATTTGTATTATTTAAAAATACACTTCTGATTCTAATATACAGTTATCAAAAGAAATAATTTTATTTTGTTATTGTGTATATATATATATACAGCTGTTGGTCAAACTGATACAGTAAAAATGTTTAACGAAAAGTCAAATCAAACTACAAATTCCCATGATGTGTACATATTTCACTTTTCAAAACTAAAAATAGTAGTAATAACATATTCCATGATGTTGTTTTGGGTCAAACGTAGTAACATTTAACATTCCCGTGATGATGTTTTGGGTCAAACGTAGTAACATTTTAAATTGACGTAAGACAATCAAAACTTAAACCTACAACATGTAAATTTTCAGCCTAAATAACAGAGGCTATATGTAAATAGAGATTATTCTTTTTGATAAAATTGCAAACTAATAAATAAATAAAAATGATTCAAATACTAAACAAGAAAAATGTATTCAAAATTAGAAGCTGGATAGCATCAGCTTGAAGAGCATAGAGACAAACATGCCTCAAAACTTGACAGCATGCTTTATTTGTATTTATTACTTCCCTAATTACAATGTCACCAAAACGTAGTCGTCGCCAGACTATCTGCATGCACATACACATCTGTATTTATTAGTTTTGAAATAGTAATATTTAATGATTTTTTCTATTTTAAAAATATAAAATTATGGATTATTTCAAATAACCAAAAAGTTTGGTTTAAGAAAAAGTATGGTGAAATATTGGGAGAACTATATAGTTAAAGAAATGAATATTGTGAAATATACTTAAACAAAAAAACTACTATATATTGGGAACATCTATGGGGTTTAGACAGTGGCGTGAAGTTCCAAGTTAAAAATACCCCATGCCATAAAGAAACAAGAGTAATGTATTCCCGTTGAACAACTTTTCCACTAATACTTCCAATTAGCTTAGACCTCATGATTCTACAAATTTTTCTTGTATATGTGCGCATATAATCATGAATTCAAAAAAAAAAAAAAATATATATATATATATATAATCATGAATTCAAAAAAAAAAGATATATATATATATATATATAATCATGAATTCATGATCGATGTATATATATAGTTATTAAACTATCAGATATACATCTTAAATTCCATCAAAAATATTATGAGGTTACACATAAACGTATAAAATAAATTAATGTTTTTTTAACAAACGTATAAAGTACTCCATCTTTGTTAATAAAATCTATTTTTATTAACAATATTGGCGATTGTAATAACAAAAAAATGTATACTGTATTTTTATTACTCAGCTACATATATTATAGTCTAAATTCGTGTTTGTTAGGCAAAAAAATCCTACTATATTATTTGGGAAGTACATTTTAAATGTAACCTTAATTTTTGTAATTAATTATATGACAATGTCATTAGAAAAATTTAATCAAAAACAGAATCTTTTAATGACGTCATTAAGGTTACCAAAATCATTTAACTACAATATTCATTTCTTAATTATAGAGCTTATTGGATCTAAAGACAGGTCATCAAAGATTTCCTAAACTAAAGCAAAATGTACCGAATATTTAAATATCTATATGTTACCAAATTATAAACAAATAAATTCGTAAAACAATTTAATATTTTATATACAAAATCAATTAAATCTTAATCACATAAAAATTAGCACAAAAAAAAAATATTCAACAATTAAAAAATTATCAAATCTCTGTGTTATATAAGTTTCTATACTATAATCGAATAAAGTGTAATATACCTTTTCAATTTGTATTCTTTAACTAATTTAAGCTAACTAATATATTTGCTAATCTTATACCTATCAAAACCGACTATCGTTTCTTATCTCTATAGTATTTTTGCAAGAGTTTTTTGGTGGATTTAGGTAAAAGTGCATTCGGCTCATATGGTACATTTCTTTATTAAGTAAATATGGTGCACTCCTATGTTATTAGCTAAAATGTTTAGATTATAAATCAGAGTCATATCATAAATAAAATTAATATTAATAAAATAAATGGCTTTTTGGCAAGACGGATTTGGAGGGACGGATTTTTGAATCATCATTAATAAAAAACTAAAATATAATTAATTTCACCGTTTCAATACGGGTTCTATCTTTAATTTATTATTTTTTAAGACCACTAATATGAAACATATCAAAATCATCCTAATTTAGAAAAGATTATATAAAACCAAAAATGTTATGTGGTATGTATAATGTTACTATATATAAAATTAAACTATAAAATATAAATGTATTAGAGAATGATACAATTTACAAAACTTTTATATATAATACATAATTCTTAAATTTTAAAAATTACTACTTTAAAAAAAATCACGGGACGGGTAAAGAAATTACAGAACGGGTTTAATTTTGGAATTGGGTTATATTGTGGATGTATTTGAATCAATATTTATAAAATTTTAAAATATTATTAATATGTTGTTTTAATAAAGATTAAAACATCAGTTTTTTAACAATTGTCTCATGGATTCGTCGTATAGCATTACTTAATAACAATTATAAACTGTAAAATATAAATATTTTATAAAAATAAAATTTGCAAATTTTAATATATATTACCTTTAAAAAATAAATAATCCCGCGGTATACCGCTGGTTAAAATCTAGTTAAGTATGTATAGATTAATTGAAACGTGTATGTACTGATAAAGTGGGAACTTGGCAGTGTACCTAAAAAGTAAAACAAAAATAAATATGTTTCTACAACTGGTCATCCTCAATGTACCCCAACTACTACTCTGACTATTTTCTCTTGCCTTCTTTATTTCTCAGTTTCATATACTACATATATATATATATATATATAATATATACTTAGTATAAATGATAGACCAATTATATTTTTCTGGATAACCTGAATTGGTATAACGAAGAACTAATGGTTTAGTTTGATTATCGAATAGCCACACCAGTTTAAAAATGCTACGTTTTATACAGATCGGATGCATGGACGTTCTATATACATATAATATAACTTCGTTACTTTAGAGAATATGTAACGGTAATGTATCTTCTTAAGATTTTCTTTTTTGAAAATATGTCACAATTATTATTTTATTTTATTTTAGTTTTTAGTTTTAAATATGTCACAATTAGTAAAGAAGGAATTAGATAATTAACCAAAAAAAACTACTAATAACAAAATTACATGTCGGCTGAGTAAATACTGATTTTTTTTTCTAAGAAGACAAGACTAGGGTTTCGGAATGACGACTTATTTCAGCCTTCTTAAAAGCCCATCTCTTCCTCTTATCCCCATCATTCCCTCATCATAACACCATCATCACCATCTCTTTCTCTCTCTCTCTCTAAGATCTTCTATCACTTTATCTCTCTGTATATATAACTCACATAAGATTGAGCTGCGACTGATAATCATGAAGAGGCTATTTCTGTTGTGGGGAATGTTGTTTGGATCGAGGATATCATAAACGCATACACATGTTTATATGTTATGATGCATTATATGACTGATGTAATGTACATATATATACATACATGCCACATGGTATCGTCGGACCAGGCTTCATCCCCCTCAACATGTTAATTGCCTTCAATCACTCTGGAGAAACAACAAAACCTTGATTATTAGATTTTTATTTTTTGGTTTGACAATGTATATATATACATAATATGGTAACTACCATTGGCGTCTCTATCTTTTTTCTCTTAATTTTTAGTTGTTTATATGCTCATTGATCCAATAGACCAATAATTATGAGTTTTCATCATTTTTTGCACTATGTTTACTGGTCCCTAATAAAATTTGTATTCTACACAAGTCCACATAAAGTAAAAATTGTAAACCATTTTAAATTTGCTAACGTCGGATTGTAATAGCATATTTTACTAAACATTTTAAGAGAGTTAAAAAGTCGCTTTATATGATTACCGATTTTTTTTTTTTGTGAAAGTAATATTGGTCTAAATTTTTTAAGTGAATAATTCGTATATACAGTAGTTGATTAAGTTAGAAAGCAGTCAATCTCCTACATAATTATATACGTACGTGTTTAGAGACAGTAACATAAAGTTTGTTTTGTTTGTTAAAAAGCAGCATAAAGTTATTAATTAGTCAAACATTTTGGCGATTTAGACTTGCTTTTTTTACAGAATTACATATCTACATAACTAAAGTAGCTTTTATTTTATTTTATTTTTTAGTTTTCATTATACTGCAAGAACATATTCTTGGCTGATTGCAACTTATTTTGATTTTCCGTCGCTAACCAAACACTAGTATATTAGGTATTACGTTATATTCTTTTGATCAAACTAATAATTTTCATTGAAATTATAAGTCTCAAATTTACTCATAAGAGGAGGAATCTGATACGTATTAAAAATGCATTTGGCCGCTCAACATGCTATAAATATATATATATATATATATATATATATATATATATATATATATCGTCACATATATTTCAAAATAACCTGATACTTTTACATATTTGTTAATTCCTGACCACACATTTTAAGTTTTTAACGTCGTAAAAATAAACGAAGTTGATGACGTTCATTTCTAATTTAGCAATTTATAGTGCGACTGTTTAATAAAATACAAGATTCCCAAAAATACAAAAGGTATTTTGATCAATAGTACTTCCTAAAATAAAATCATGTTTCAAACCTTTATAATAATAATAAAAATGATCTCTCAGTTACAATTGTCTTGTCTCACTTGATTATTTTCTGTAAATAAGTTTGGATGTGAAGTTATTCAGTACAATTAACCTAAATATTTAATGTGATTGACTAAAACTAGCTAAATAGGGTTCACGGGAAATTGAAGCTTTTGACTATGGGAAAATATATCAAAAAGAGATTGAAAAGTCTTTTGTTTTTGCTTTGTCAAAGTGCTTTATCTTCTTCATGTCACACCTTTTCCTAGTATTTATGAAGATGTGACATCTTCTCTCAATAATTCAATCGCGACTTCCTAAGTAACATAAATGCACATGTGCGCTAATATCGGATGTTGCTGACTTCCTTGAATCAAAAATTTGTGTTGCTCATGAATTTTTTCTTTTTTAAAACTGATTTAATCAATATACATGAAATAGTTCGATTCAGTTGTTGCTTTATAAGTACGGACTAGGCAGAGAAAACAAAGAAACACATCTCTTGATTTCGATCAACAATGGCTGCTTTTACACACTTGAATATCTATCTGCTTTTGTTGATAATCAGTGCAATGTGATTTGGTTAATTTGAAGCAAAATAATTAAAAAGAAAACGAGTTTGCCAAACATTTAATTCTGAAGAGAAAAAGTATTAGGCTATTAGCCCACAATTAACCAAAGTATTAGCCCACAAATAACAGGCCTGCACTTGACGGCCCATTTAACCTTTTTTTTTCCTGACAGGCTAAGAAAATATCTTTCAGAAAATTATAAAAAGTAAAAAGCATATGGCATAATATTATTATTTTTTTCAAGTGGGAATTTACCTATAAAATAATATTCCCCACTTAGATATTCCAACAATCTATGAGGTTGGCTTTTTTGTACAATTATATGTACATCCATTAATTCGCTTGTCCCCATTTAAAAAGTGTCTCTTTAAAATTATATATCGCCAAAGATTTACGCATTGATTCGTTTTTCGATAATAATATATCATCTATTTCTTTAAAACTCGATTAATGCACTATTAGCGGTAACGCAAATTACTGGCAAAATTCAAGTTATTATAATGTTTCTCTCAAATATTTTTGTTTGGCTGAATGAGAAAGATGTATTAGACATTGTCTTCTTTAGACATTATATATATTTACTAGTACTAATTATAGTAAATATACACACGTATACAATCGGAGTAGATGCGCATGTTAATTACCAAAAAAATACGATTAAGTGTGCCATCATCTCCGTTAATCTAGGGTTAGCTGGATAATTATCATTTACGTTTTGATGATGACAAAAAGGATAAAGAACAAAAAAGTACATACTAATATATACATATATGTAAGGTTAAAGTTTGTTTGATGAGTGCTTAAATTCGATATTCTATTTAAAATTATATCTCTATTCGCTAAGGATTCAAATTCAAATAAGAGAAAAAAAATAAAAAGTAAATTATGCCCACCCCAAACTTTGCTATATATACAAGAAATATCACCTTCTCTTTAAAACCAATTAAAGAGACGCATTTAAAAGCAAATGACCAACAAGCGACTTCACCATCCATCTCTTACAACCCTCCAAGAACACTGGCTGTTTTCCTTCACTTTCTAGACAAAACAAAAACCATCTTCTAGAGAAAATAAACCAACATGGGAGAGACAGAAACCATGGCAACAAACTAACTAAACCATAGTATATATTATCTATACTAATATTATCGGCCCATGGGTAACGGAGACAAAGTCATGAGCCACTGGAGCTTCCACATCCCACGTCTCCATCATCATGAGCATGATCATGAAAAGGTACCAAAAGGGTGTTTGGCAGTGAAGGTAGGACAAGGAGAAGAGCAAGAGAGATTTGTGATTCCCGTTATGTACTTTAATCATCCTTTGTTTGGACAACTCTTGAAGGAAGCTGAAGAAGAGTTTGGTTTTGCTCAAAAAGGGACAATCACGATCCCTTGTCACGTTGAGGAGTTTAGGTATGTTCAAGGATTGATCGATCGAGAAAACACTAGATTTCTAGGTAATAATCTCCTTGATCATCACCATCATCATCACAACCATCTCATCCGGTGTTTTAGGGTTTGATGATATTGTTTTGGCTCTTTTTAAACTAGATATTATCTCATGCTGCTGATTATAAATAAATCTCGGTCTTCATTTCATCTTATCTTAAGGTGTGGCTTGTTGTTGTTGTTGTTGTTGTTGTTCATATATATATATATATATATATATATGTCTCATGATGATTAATTGTACGTTTATGCCCGATCATAAAAATAGAAAATCATCATCTTGTAATAATATTAAAATAATATGTATGTTGAACAATTAATATTTAGTTATTTACTATACTCAATCTCTTCTATGAGTTGACTTGTCAATTGAAATTTTATAATTTTATTAATGATTTGGAGAAGAAAGTAATTTTACATTTTTCCATTTTTATTTTAAAAATCATTTTTATTTTAAAAATCACTTTAGTTCAGGTTTTTTGTTGCTAAAATGTAAATATTCATAAGAATAAAAATGTTTAGGTTTACAGTTATATATTTTAGACTTATAGACTTGGTCTTATGGCAAAAAAAAAGGATTAAAACATGGAAGGAAAAACAATCAGTTTGTCGACTCAACGTATGCTATGAAGCAAACAATGTTAGAGAAAAAGATAAAGTGATACAAGATTTTGAAGTTCCTCCAAAGTGAGTTACAAAAGATGAAATTTGGCAATGAAAATTTATAAAAACTTCAAAAGTGGAAGCCTTTCACTGGAGGCCAATGGACTGATTCTATCGGCTTTGCCAAACTATTCTACAACAGGTTAATCATTTGGAGAAGAAAGTAATTTAGTGGTTATTTCACATATATACCACCATTCATCAATATAACTTCTATGTTACGTTTCCGTTCATAAAGATATGTGAAAACGAAGTTCCTGTAAATGAATGATTAAGTTAAGAAATTTATTCGCTATATCTATAAATTCATCTGATCAACATTGTTGTCTACGCAATTGTTGTTCATTAAATCTTTACGGTCACAAAAATAACAACCTCATGATATGTTAGAAAAACTTTAATCATACACTTGCAAAAAAAAGTGAAGCAAAATCTACCATAAATATGCAATTGTGCAGTGGTCTTCTCCTCTTAATTTTGTTTGAAGTACGTATATTCGAAACTTTATTTCGATTATAATTTTTCGTACGATTCTTTATAAGTAAAGCAAAATAATGATGGATTGAAGAATCTTGAAAATGGAAAGAAATGGACGAGAGGCTTTTGACCATTTGTATGGCCAGAATAACAACACTCACTACCAAATACAATAACGTGATTTTGTTTAATAGATTAGATGCGGTAGGAATATATTATTCTTCGTGAACTAAAACCATGTTTTATAACGACAAAAAAAAACCCATGTTTTATAAGTTTATGGGCCAAAATTGGGCTTTTGTATTATAAACATGTTTACGGAAGTATTCAGCTAAGTATATATAAAAAAAAACAATTACACTAATTTATTTAAATTTTATTATTACCTACTTACAATTAGTAAAATTTAAAATTAACAAAAAAAAGACTTTTACTTACTTTTAGTTATTGTTTTAAGAAAAACATCATTAATTACCCTACTTTTTTTTTTAATACTAGGAGGTTCTAAGCCAAAACATCTTAATTATTATATGTTTATATGTCTAATAATATCCATAAATGTATTAAAAAAACTTAAAACATAAACTAAAGGGTAATAGATCATAATATTATTGAATGGAGTAAGAAAATGTATAAATTATAATTCAAAAAGAGAACTATAATCTGCTTTTCTACCCAAATGAAGTAAAATAAGACATCAATTTGCATTTGAATGGTCAGTTTTAAAGGTAAAATTAAAGACGTTAAAC